ACACGAGCACCTTGTGGCCGCCGGCGCGCAGCCGCGGCAGCAGCTTGTCCAGGAGCACCAACTTCCCTGCCGAGCGCACGAGAGCCTGCAGCGCCAGGTCAGGTGGGGCAGGTGAGGGCAGAGAGTCACGGAGCTCGGCCACGATCTGCTCCTCGGCACCTGCATGGACAGGTGAGATAGGACAGGTGAGTGTGATAGGACAGACAGGTGAGTGTCACTGATCAGAGCCTGCAGAGCCAGGTCAGGTGGGGCAGGTGAGGGCAGCGAGTCACGGAGCTCGGCCACGATCTGCTCCTCGGCACCTGCACAGGTGAGATAGGACAGGTGAGATGGGACAGGTAACATAGGACAGGTGAGTGTCACTGATCAGAGCCTGCAGGGCCAGGTCAGGTGGGGCAGGTGAGGGCAGAGAGTCACGGAGCTCGGCCACGATCTGCTCCTCGGCACCTGCACAGGTGAGACAGGTGGGACAGGTGAGATAAATGAGTTAACTGTGATAGGACAGGTGAGTGTCACTGAACAGAGCCTGCAGCGCCAGGTCAGGTGGGGCAGGTGAGGGCAGAGAGTCACGGAGCTCGGCCACGATCTGCTCCTCAGCACCTGCACAGGTGAGATGGGACAGGTGAGATGGGACAGGTAACGTATGATGAGTGTCACTGAGTGTCACTGATCAGAGCCTGCAGGGACAGGTCAGGTGGGGCAGGTGAGGGCAGAGAGTCACGGAGCTCGGCCACGATCTGCTCCTCGGCACCTGTACAGGTGAGATAGAACAGGTGAGTGTGATAGGACAGGTGTGATAGGACAGGTGAGTGTGATAGGACAGACAGGTGAGTGTCACTGATCAGAGCCTGCACGGACAGGTCAGGTGGGGCAGGTGAGGGCAGGGAGTCACGGAGCTCGGCCACGATCTGCTCCTCAGCACCTGTACAGGTGAGACAGGTGGGATAAGTGACGTAGAACAGGTAAGACAAATGGGACAGGTGAGCACTGCTCGCCATCACTGACCACCAACAGCTCCTCCAAATCCTCGCTGTGTTCTGCAGGTGAGCACCGACGGAATCCAGGTGTGCTCAGGTGTGTACCCCAGTGTACCTGTGTGTCCCCAGGTGTGCTTACCGTTGATGAGGTAGAGGCGTGTGTGGATCCAGGTGTATTCAGGTGTATCTCTATGTGTCCCCACGTGTGCTCACGTGTGTTCAGGTGTGTCTCTGTGTGTCCCCAGGTGTGCCCAGGTGCGCTCACCGTTGATGAGGTAGGAGTGGTTGCAGCACTTGCGCAGCTCCATCACGGTATTGAGCAGGTGTGTGTGCGCCCAGGTGTGTTCAGGTGTGTCTCTATGTGTCTCTGTGTGTACACAGGTGTGCTCAGGTGTGTTTTCTATGTATCCCCAGGTGTGTCTCTGTGAGTCCCCAGGTGTCCCCAGGTGTGCCCAGGTGTGCCCAGGTGCGCTCACCGTTGATGAGGTAGAGATGAGTGTGTACACAGGTGTGTTCAGGTGTGTCTCTGTGTATCCCCAGGTGCCCCCAGCTGTCCCCAGGTGCGCCCAGGTGTATTCAGGTGTGTCTCTATGTGTCTCTATGTGCCCCCAGGTGTGCCCAAGTGTGTCTCTATGTGTCTCTGTGTGTACCCAGGTGTGTTCAGGTGTGTCTCTATGTGTCTCTGTGTGTACCCAGGTGTGTTCAGGTGTGTCTCTGTGTGTCCCCAGGTGCCCCCAGGTACGCTCACCGTTGATGAGGTAGGAGTGGTTGCAGCACTTGCGCAGCTCCATCATGGTGTTGAGCAGGTGTGTGTGTGCCCAGGTGTGTTCAGGTGTGTCTGTATGTGTCCCCAGGTGTCCCCAGGTGCGCCCAGGTGCCCCCAGGTGCGCTCACCGTTGATGAGGTAGGGGTGGTTGCAGCACTTGCGCAGCTCCATCATGGTGTTGAGCAGGTTGGGCACGTTGCCGTGCCCCGCCCCCCTGGCCAGGTAAGCGAAGTTCCTCTCGAGGATGGCGCGGTACAGGCGCTTCTGGGCGTTGGTCAGCTCCACCTCGATGATCGTTTCCTGCTTGGGCGCCAGGTTCTTCTCCACGTCCTCCTTCAGGCGCCGCAGCATCATCGGCTTCAGCAGCGCCTGCAGCTTCTGCACCTGCGCAGGTGAGACGCCGCGCCGGTCGCACCTGGGCGCACCTGGGCGCGGCTAAAGGGGCGGCTGCCGGCGGGAGGAGTCATGGAGATACGCCTAGCTACACCTGGGAGCAGCTCCCGGCACACCTGGATAAACCTGGATGCGCCCAGCTGCACCTGAGCAGGTGAGACGCCGCACCTGGCGCACCTGGCGCACCTGGGCGCAGCTAAACAGGCGGATACCGGCAGGAGGAGCCTTCCATGTATACCTAACTATACCTGGGAGCAGCTCCCGGCACACCTGGATGCGCCCAGCTGCACCTGCGCAGGTGACACGCCACACCTGGCGCACCTGTGCGTGGCTAAACAGGCGGATACCGGCAGGAAGAGCCACTGAGATTCGCCTAACTACACCTGGGAGCAGCTCCCAACACACCTGGATACGCCCAGGTGCACCTGCGCAGGTGAGACCCTGCACCTGTCGCACCTGGGTGTGGCTACCGGCAGGAGGAGCCATCCATGTACGCCTAACTACACCTGGGAGCAGCTCCCAACACACCTGGGCACACCTGGGCAGCTCTGTGGGATCACCGGGTGGCCACAGCACTCTCCAGGTGAGCACTGAGCCTCCCAGCCTCAAACACCTGAATGATCCCAGCCCTGCCCAGGTGTGTCCAGGTACACCCAGGTGTGTCCAGGTGACCCCCGAGCTCCTCCCGAGGACAGTGAAATGACCTCAAACCCCTCCTGAACCCCCCCAACTCCTCTCCCAGGTGTTCTCAGGTGTGTCCAGGTGCACCCAGGTGTGTCCAGGTGCGCCCAGGTAACCTCCAAACTCTTCCTAAGGACCACGAAACGACCCCAGACCCCTCCCAGAGCCCCCTCCCACCCTGCCCAGGTGCCCCCAAGTACCCCCAGGTGCGCCCAGGTGCGCCCCTCACCTGCTCCTCGGTTTTGAGGTCTCCGAAGTCCTTGAGGAACTCGGCCT